TTCTACAGCTTCAGTTTCGGAACTTTCACGCTTAGTAACACATACAGCTGTTCCCTCACCACAGTGCAACAGTGAAAAGGGACCCCTTTCAAACAGTGTCACGTTCCGAACGTTGTTTAAGTGACATATACCGGTATTGCAGTATTTTAAAAATTCATATCGTAACAAAAATAAACACCGGTATTCGGTATGAACCGGTATACCGCCCAGCACTAGTGGGCAGCCATTTTTGCTCCGGCGGAGTCTCACCTCAGTCGTGGTATTAAGGATGGAATAGAGCGCTGGTTATTCACTCCCCCACCTACAATACCTGCCGGGACAGAGACTCAAACCCGTGACCCTTTGGGTTACAAGTCTCTCTTACAACTCTCTAACCATTAGGCCACGACTACCACCTGACTGCCCCATGACTGAAAAAAAAATTCTGTTTAAATAAAATAATAAAAGCTCCAGTTTTAGCTGACACTGAAGACACAAATCACTAAGATTAGATTAAGGAACAGCATGACAAGAGAGTCCTATAAATGGCAAAAGCCAATCAATGGCAAATTAGTTTTTGTTCCTTTTATAGAAACAGAGCAATAGCTATGTATGTGGAATCTGATTTCTTTCATGACAAACCACACATCTTATTACAAGATAATCATCATATAGGCAACGATTTAAAATACAGCTACGATATAAACTGACATTAGGAGGATCTGGCTAAATGTCCATATATCGATTAAATGCATACATTAGCCACAGTGCTGAGTGGTAAAATGACGACCATACTTTTATGAATGTATCATCAATAGAATACTATCCTGTCAGCCTGGTATTCGAGCGAGTCACAGTCACTGCTCATGATTCAGTCATCTGCCTGATGGTAAAACCACCTCAAGAACCGGAATCTGTTGCTCACTGCCTTTTCTATAACTACTGTTTTGATCATACAGTAAATTTATTTAGACATCACTCATAGTTACTGCTGCTTAGAAAACGTATAACGTACATCGCCAGTACAGTTTATGATAGAGAGGTTTACTTATTCCACCCTAGTTTTGGAAACCTCATAATAGATCTAAAAGCCCATTAACATAGTAATCACGTTAGTTTAGGACAACTAAAAGACAGACAAACACAAATCTTGTAAATGCTGTCAAGCTACAGCTGTTTCTTCTAACTAACGTAGTGTAACATAAATGTCAAATAAATTTGGCCACTTTGTGCATGGTTACGTAGGTATATTTCACTTAAAATGACATGACCCCATTTTTGGTTCCACCAGTCTATGTTGCCTTTTCCAATATCCTAATTACATTTTAAAGGGTTAGTCTCTAGCTTTTAACAACAAACAACAGCACATTAAGGTTTATTACGGAGCACATTACATCCTATTACTCTGACTACATCAAGATAACAAAGAGCAATTATAAAGTCCAAGCAGAACAAGTGGTCTAAATAGTGTGATGTTCCTCTTTAAACCACACGAGGCCCATTCAGGAAGGGGTAACACTATTAACACTGACTGATGCTACTTCCTTTGTGTCAAAACTTTACACCTCAAAACTAAAAGTTACAGCATACACAGGTAGTGGCACAGGCTATAACATATGTGGATGTTTTGGCTTTTCATACATCACGCCACGTAACAAAAGCAGTGAGAAAGATTATTAATTTTATTTGAGCCACACACAAAACTGTTAAAACAAGAGATTTGTTTGCTAAATAAGATGCTCAATTAGTTTTGGGAATGAAGCAAATCTAAATTTATGGTTTAAACTTCCTTTGTTTTCACCAAAACTGGCTCGTATAGTCACATGACAATCAAAGAGATGCTGTTGATGTGCAGATGATACAGAAGAGAACTGGATAAGAACTTGAATAAGTTTATTGTGCACTGTTTGAGACTGGCTTGGGCATTTACATTAACAGAACTTGTTCATATGCATACTAAAATTATTTATAAGTTATCTAGTGCTGGGCAACGATTAACCGTGATTAATCGCATCCAAAATAAAAGTTTTTATTTATATAAAATGTGTGTGTACTGTGTGTATTTATTATGTATATATATAAAGAGACACATATACAGTATATATTTTGAAAATATTTACATGTATTTATTTATATTCATATAATTTATATTATATATAAATACAGCAGTCAACATTTGAAGTGGATCAAAAAAGTTCATCAAAGATGTCCTAAGACAAGAACGCATTTTGGTTTTAGGTTTTAGGACAACTTTGATGAAAGGTCTTGATCCACTTCAAATGTTGACTGCTGTATATTTAATATATAAAACATAACATTTTTCTTAAATATATACATGCATGCGTGTGTGTGTGTATTTATATACACACATCATAAATATACACAGTACACACACATATATTATGTAAATAAAAACTTATTTTGGATGCGATTAATCACGATTAATCGTTGCCCAGCACTAGATAAAACCAATAAAAATACTAGAGAGGTAGGCTATGTTTTGTGCTATCTGGAGGATGCACATATAGCCGGTCAATAGGCAGTGCTAGTTGAATAAAATGTGTATTGTTTAAAAAAAAAAAAAACGTAATCTATCACATCTATCTATATTTAATGTTTCTGATACTGCATGAGTACTAGGCTCATATTAGAACAATACAAACAGAAAATACTACTGTATTTCTAACAACATGATACTTAATGTTTTTTTGTTTTTTTCAAACTGTACTATCTGAGCCCAAAACCCATATCGGATTCATTCAGAGATGCCTGGGGAGACAGAAAACAAGGTACTTTTTTTATAGAGTGAACCGTCTGTCCACCTCCATAATTAATTCAATAAACTAATCACCCGAATAACTTTCAGGAAATTAATAGAACAGAGTGAAAACAATATCTGTTTAATTAGCCAGACAACAGGAAGCATCAACAGAGGCCTCATCTTGGTCACATGAAGATAATATTATTGAACAGAATGATACGCACAAATTACAGAGGAAGAAACAACTTCGCAAATCAATGTGCTATAAAATGCATCTACACTATCCAAAATGTACAAAATGGCTTCATCCAAAAGTCAAACATCAGTCAATCTATGACAAGAGATGACACAGACCTCCACCTAGCATTTGTTTGTACTTATCTCAGATTGCATGAAGTGTTGTGGTTGTGTACTGGCATGTGTAGTTGCATTACCATCTTGACAGTAAAATAAAGTAAGCTTACCCAAAGCCACCAACAGCAGGAAAGACAGAAGCGATAAGCCATGTTTCTATGAAGCAAATCCTTCGATTTAGCCCAAAAGAATGTCTTATAGTCTTTACTTTTGTGAAGTTTATTTGAATGTTCATTACTTCTCTCTACCTCTCTCAGTGTCTGTGTAAATCTCCTGTGCCCGTGAGCACACAGTGATGTAAAAATGACACTTCCTATGATGACCAATACTAAGAAACGATGAGAGTGGGAGAGCAAGAGAGAGAGAGTGTGCTTCCTCTTGAAGCTCACATGCAGACACCTACATAACAACAAACTCAAACGTTAAAATGAGAAACAAACTATCCGTCCTGGAAATTTTCAAATGAAATTAAAGGTTAAGAGGATATTCTTGACTGTCAGATCAGCCCCATTTTATAGCCACGGCTAAATGTGAATCATAAAAATCAACACTGTAATAACTTGATTCATACAGCAGATGGCACTATGTTTGCATTCAGAGGAACTAAGGGGGGAAAACAGACTAAAACTGCCTTGTGGAATAAGTCTCTAGGTGGAAAAACTTTCCTATTTCCTGAAAACACATCATCCAAGAATATGTAAGAAACTTCAATGAATCTGTCAGTCAAAAACAAGATTGATCTCAAGCTCTTCAACAGAATGTTTAAACTGGAGTTAATGTTGTCCATACATGTTCATAACTTTTCACACAGTTGATAAACACATCATGATTAAGTCTGTTTTAGTTTGATTTACACAATCTTACTCAATGCTAGCAGTGTAGCCGTGTTAGAAAATAATCTACCATTACACAGTAACTTTAAGACACTCCTTTCTGTCATCAGACTGCATTCCTGCACCACCCACTCATACACACACACAAATAAAACACAAGCTAGTTAGCCTCCATACCCAACAAACATGCATATAAATATAAACATTCAGCTTTAATAACCCTCAGCCTAAATAACGAGTTCAGTATGTGCTTTAACAAGTCTATTAAGTCCATCAGATACGGGCAGAAACATCATTAGCCAAGCACTGCATGCCAGAAAGGGTCATATGACAGATGTTATTCACATTGTCGGGGAACTCCTCCAACATCTGGTCTCTAAAAGCTGGTGACATCATCAGAAGTCAACAAGCAATCTCTCCATCCTTCATTTTTGTATACTTTCCATTGGAACATGGTGAAGAACTCGACTCTTATGTAAGATGTTTGCTGGTCCATGTGCAAAGTAGAGCTGGGCAATCTCATCTCAACTTCTTCAGCCTTTTGACAATATCTGAAATATAGCTCAATAATGTGTGATACCTTACAAGTTTTAGGTTAGGAACTGAACAAATACAACAAAGTCACAAACTTTATGATAACGTGTGAGAAACAATGAAATTACAAGAGAATAAACAAGAGAAATTAACAAGCTGCTTGCACCTGTTTGCAAAAGCTTGCAGCTTTATTGACAAGGAGACATTATTGGAAAAAAAAAATGTCTACAACATCAAAAAAAAAAAAAAGATTTGTGAAGGTGTAATTTTGTGTTGATGTACAAACAAAACACGATCCAAACAAAACTGACACCAAAAGCTAAACTCAGCAGTGACAAAACATGCTGAATTTGCAACTGACCAAAACCTTTCATATCGATGCATTCCTGAGTAAATATTCAATAGAGTACCCATCTTTTGTGCAAAGTACCTGTAAATAGGTTTGAGTATGCGAGCATGTGTATGAGAAAATGAATGACAAACAAGGAGAGAAAAATACACAAAAGAAAAGTTTTAATTCTGATCATGGTTCTACTTACCGAGGTCTCTCCACTTCTTTCTTTGTGTGCACTGCGACTTCTGCGAGTTCTCACGTGGGTAAGCGGACCATCAGCAGAACTTTCCGTGGGGGCAGATCTTCGACACATACTCCTTGAACGTTTCTACACAAACATAGAAGGGGCTACAGTCAAGTTTCTTTAAAGAATTCAAAGGAAATGCAATGCAACACAACTAGGTGCTGACACAATATTTGACCACTCCAAAGAACAGTTTTCAATACCAATAGTTGGGCGGTTCTACAATTCAACTGACCAATGTCAATACATTGCTAAACCCAACACACACACACACACACACACACACACACACACACACACACACACACACACACACACACACACAAAGACTATACGGTGGGAATGTGTGCGCAAACATCTATCCCAGAGTGTGCTCTTCCTCACCTGTTGTACTTTGTCCCTGTGCGAGGCACGGTTCTCTCTCTGTCCCTGGGAAGCCAGCTCCCAGTTTGGACTCCATATAGGATCAGTGACAGAGAAGGTTGCAACATGACTAGTGGGTACTGAAGTCTCTTTCTTAACTAATGGCTTTGTGGGAGGAGGAACCAAAGCTCCACTTGACCCCACATTCAAAGGTTCTGAGGTCCAGCATCTCTCTGGGGTCAGTATAGGGGCTACAGAGGGACGAAGACATGGTTGTGCAGTCGGCACAGGAGTTTGAATTGTTCCAAAACCTGGTCGTGCAGTCAGCATAGGAGTTTGAATTGGTCCAAGACCTGGTTGTGCAGTCAGAATAGGAGTTTGAATTGGTCCAAGACCTGGTTGTGCAGTCAGCATAGGAGTTTGAATTGGTCCAAGACCTGGTTGTGCAGTCAGAATAGGAGTTTGAATTGGTCCAAGACCTGGTTGTGCAGTCAGCATAGGAGTTTGAATTGGTCCAAGACCTGGTTGTGCAGTCGGCACAGGAGTTTGAATTGGAACCATGGGTGGTGCAATATTGGGATGCAGTACAGGAGTGAAGACTGGACTCATGGAAGAGGCTGAACTGGGTGTCAAAATGTTCATTGAACCTCTATCCTCATGACTCAAGAGTTGCTGCTCAAGGCCACCAGGTCTGGTGCTAACTGGTCTTCTGGATCCTTCCATGGCTGATACCCAAAGGGGCTCATCTACAGCCAACTCTGCTTTAGTATGTCCCCAAGCATTATTTGACTGCTGAGCACCAAAGGGCCAATCTGAGGTCTCAATCAATGAGTGTGTTTGTGGCCTAGGTCTTTCTCTAGCAAACGGCAATGAATGAGGTTGGGTTTGATGCAGAATTTGAGGTTGCAGGGGTGGCGGGAGTTGAGTTCTCATACGTTCTGCTGGGGAGGGCTGGAAGAAAGCCTGGGACTGAGGGTGAAACTGGGACTGAGGAGGAGACTGAACTTGAGATGCTGTTTGTGGTTGGAGAACATTTGGTTGTGTGGCCTGTGGACGAGCTTGAATCACTGAACCAACACTTCCTGACTCTAAACCTCCAGTTGAAGAGAAGGTATCAGGTTGGGTTTGACTCCTGAATGAATCAATATCTAAGATGCCAGGTTTGTAAAGCTCATTAGGATGAAGTGAGGGCTGCTTCCATCGGGCTGTGGGGCTATTCTCATGGCTGTCTCGACCAGTCCTAAAACCAAGAGACACTGCATCCAGATCTAGAACTTTTGGCCGAAGCGGAGATGTAGGTATAGACTTCTCTTGCTCTGTCTCCATCCGATGCCTTCCTGATGCTCTCTGCCGTTCAGACAGCTTTTGTCTGTCTTCTCGTTCTTTTTTTGATCTCCGTTTCGCTTGCTCTTGCTGGAGTTGCTTTTCCCGCTGTCTCTGCAACTCAAAATCAAGAAGCTGTTGTCGCTCAAGCGCCTTGATCCTCTCAAGTTCTTCCAGCTCTTTCTTGGTCTCCCTCTCCTCTGCTTTCTGTCGCTTCCATTTCTCAATCTCCAGCTCTCTCTGTGTCTGTCTTTCAAGTTCTTTTAGCCTTTCAGTCTCCCTCTGTCTTTCAATCTCCAGTTGTCTCTCCAACTCTTGTTGCCTCTCAAGTTCCCTTTGCCTGTCCAGTTCTCTCTGCCTTTCCAACTGTCTCTGTCTTTCCCTCTCTTGCTCTTTCTGTTTCTCCAACTCTCGTTGCCTCTCCCATTCTCGCTGTCTTTCTAACTCCTTTAGCCTCTCCATCTCTCTTTGTTTTTCAAGTTCTCTCTGCTTTTGTCTTTCGATTTCCCATTGTCTGTCCAACTCCAGCTGTCTCTTTCTTTCTCTCTCCATTTCCTTCTGTTTTTCAAATTCTCTAAGCCTAAGCCTCTCTTGGTCAAGCATTCTCTCTTGCTCTCGTTCAAACTCTTTCTGTCGTTGCCTCTCAAACTCTCTCTGCTGCTCTAGTTCTCTTTCTGCAGCCTTCATTCGCTCATATTCAATTTGTTTCTGTCGCTCCTTTTCTCGTTTCTGGCGTTCAATTTCCCTTTGTCTTTCCAACTCCCTTTGATTCTCCCTCTCTTGCTCTCTCTGTCTTTCCAACTCCTTTTGTCTCTCTTTCTCTTTCTCAATTTCTTTCTTTTTCTCCCTTTCAATTTTTTGTTTCTCAATCTCCAAATCTCTCTGTTTCTTAATTTCTTGCTGCCTTTCCAATTCCTTCACCTTTTCAAACTCTGCTAGTCTTTGTCTCTCTATTTCCATCTCCTCCCTGAATGCTTTTTGCCGTTCCCTGTCTTCTAACCTGTGATCTGTTCTTGGTCCAGTGTCATTTTTATACAGCTCCTCTTGCGAATCTCTCTGCACTGCAGCTTCCAATGAAGTATTTCTTCTAAATGGAGCAATTGGATTCTGAGGACCCCACTGCTCTGATCTAACAGTGAAATCATCAAACGGAACCTCCTTCATCCTTTGTTTAACGCTCCCTAAGATTGCTTCCTCATCCACTCTCTCACCTTTATGCACAGGCTCTTGAATCTGACCAGTCAGAGCAAAGTAAGTGGCTCTAGGTTTGTTCATTTGCTCTTCGGCTTCTAGCATCTTAGGCCGTTTGGGTGCTGCAACTTCCTCTCGCTCCCTCTCTCTGATTCTTTGTGCTTCTAACTGCTTCTTTCTTTCTGCTTCGCTGTCTTCCTCCTCTTCCTCCAATGCTGCTGCTGCAGCCATATGCAATTCTGTCTGCCTCTGTATCTCTTCTTCCATCTTTCTCAACATCTCTTTCTGTTGCTCCATCTGAGATTCAATCTCTCTGTCTGCCTCGGTGGCAGTCCATTTCGGTAATGCCCCTACTCTGAGGTAACGTGGAGTGGCTGCTTCATCCATTAGCAGGTTTCTTATCTCATAGGTAGGTCTGTCCTCTTTACCTTGAGGAGCTGATCGCCGAGAACGCAGTGTGTGAGCTCTGTCCTCAAGGGAAGCAGTTGGCAAATCCTCACTAACAGCACGGTTCTCTCCAAACAAAGCCACAGTGTCAAAGACATGCTCCACACATACAGGGCTGGAAGGAGAAACTTGTTCTCTATAGGTTGCTTTGACCAAACTACCAGGATCATCATCTTCAAGAGCTTTAAAGGTGTTACCTTGAAAACGCAAAGAGTGCTTTCTCCTGGGCATGGGTTTAATTGTGCTTTCCTGCTGTGCTCTTGGGTCTTGTGAAATGTTATCCTCCATCACTTGAACATTATGCCTTTCCACCACATGCTCGAACATAGACGCTCGCAGTGTTTGCACTCCATCCCTATCAAAACCAGAGTTGGTAGGCAAGTCTTGAACACCTAGTGATGATGCTTTCCTGTCCTCCTGTTTAGTGAACTGCCCTTCAATCGTGGAGTAATCAAACTACAAAATAAAATAAAAATCAATTAAATATATTTTTTTACATGATTTCACTTGCCATTGATTCCTTTTTTTGTCTCAGTTCCTTTTTAATAAGCAAGAACCCAGAACTTGGATTGACTTTCAAACAGACAAGGTGAGCTCTGTCTACAACTCTGATCCTTAAAGAAGCAGCCTTTGACCACCCCCATGCGTAATTATAGCTTTCACTGACAGGTATGGCATTTAGAGGTAACATTTTCTTTGCTCAGATATGAGCTATAATTACAGTGGGTGTCTGTGTACATTATGTGTATTACATGACTGATTTAGAGGCACACTTTGAGAGGGAATAGAATATTTCTACTCCAAAGGGCAAATCATCCACAGAAAAAGAGTGTAATACTGACTCATTTGAATAAACAACAGATTATAAAATCTTGAAAAATTCCTTATCTAAGTTATTATTTTACAGAGGAGGGTATAAAAAAATATTTAAAAAAAAAGTACAAGATAGTGACAGATGAAAAAACTGATATGTGAATAACTGTACTACAAAGAGGGGATGGAGACTGAAGCAAACATTAAGGGCACATGAAAAGGGAGAGGAGCTTGACGCGTGTGACTGAGAACAGTGAAATTAGAGCTGTATGCTCTTTGTCAAAGCTCATAAAGCAGGGTGGGGCATGAAGGGGCCATAATCAAAGCGTCCTCTTCTCTCACAAACTGACCTTTCCCACCCCCCTCCCTTCGAAGCGTGCATGTTTCATAATCACTATATGACTAATACTACAACTCAGGTTATACGTCTTTGGAGTGCCGCACCTTCTGTGACATCAGAAGCACCTTTTTTAACCTCATTAGTTATTTCTCAAAATGAAATCTCTCTTTTTCTTTTTTCAAGGGTGATCAACATTTATTTTGGGGCTGTGACCACAGTAGGACAGTTACTGTCACAAATGTCAAAAAGGCCCTTTTCAAAAGGACTTTTCTATTCATTTAACAATATATTGTTTTACTTTATCAAACATGGGACTATCATAGAAAAACTGTGTCAGGGTAAGAACACACAAATACAAATATTTTTTTGAGAATAAAGAGCTACATGTTTTCTGTATGCAGTATTAAAACACATATTTCCTTATTAGGGGAAGTCGTGGCCTAATGGTTAGAGAGTCGAACTCGTAACCCAAAGGTTGTGGGTTCGAGTCTCACACCGGCAGGGATTGTAGGTGGGGGGAGTGAATGCACAGCGCTCTCTCCCACCTTCAATACCACGACTGAGGTGCCCTTGAGCAAGGCACCGAACCCCCAACTGCTCCCCGGGCACCACAGCATAAATGGCTGCCCACTGCTCCGGGTGTGTGTTCACGGTGTGTGTGTGTTCACTGCTGTGTGTGTGCACTTAGGATGGGTTAAATGCAGAGCACTAATTCCTAGTATGGGTAACCATACTTGGTCACATGTCACGTCACTCTTATTAAAATGATTAAACAGGGCCTTCTGCCACAAATGTTAAAGGAAATGGAAAACAAGCAATCACAGTTAGTTCACTTAATTTGTGATAGACTTAGTATACGCTGGTGTCATTTGTTTAAAAAAAAGAGATTAAAATGTTAGGTTTTATGGAAAAACTAAACTTCTAAACACAAAGCCTACCTTACTGCACCTTGCAAAGATGCTTTATTTGTGGCAGTATGATTAATAGCAGTGGTTAATATTCCCATACCTTTTTGTTGAGATCATCTTCAACCTGCTGGGGGCCTTTGAGCTCATAGGAACTATGGCTTTCAAGCTCTGCTTCAAATCTGTAAGCAAATCAGATTAGTTAGAAACAAATACTATATATAATACTATAGCTATATGTGAATCATGACAAAAGCAAATGGGTATTAATTATGATTTCTGTACCATCCAGCTGCAAACATGTAGTATACATTTTTGTGTACTTTTGAGGGGGGGGAAAAAGATATGCGAGACGTAATTACACAATGTCAGCACAATATACATAAAGAATCACTTATGCACATAATGTAGATCCTTTACTATTTATTTTGTTGCACTAGTAATAAAATGCTTCCTTTGTACTTTCTTCTTTTTTCAGGAAGTAAAAGAGAGATGTTGCATACCACATCTATTTTATTCCCACAAAAATGTTTAAATGTCATAATTACAACTTCTAAAACTCATTTGTAAAAACCCAAAGGCAGTAAAACTACTGCAAAACTGTGCATATTGAAGTATTTCAGTACATACATAATATTTACATACAACATGAGGTTGATAACTGATTATACAACTCTAATTAGCAGACCTCGGTAATGAATGTTGAAAACCACTGGACCTTACCTTTTAGTGCGGTCAGATACTAGGGTACGTGGCTTATATTGTGGCTTCTGGGGTGGTGACAGCGTAGTAGGCACTTCTTCGGTCAGTTCTTTGATTCGCTGTTTCACCCCCACCGCTCCATCAGTATCAGAGACAGACCGCCCCGGTGAGCGTGGCTCAGTCTCTGGAGTATCCACACGTGTCACTGAGAAGGAGGAGGAAGAAGAGTCCAAGAGTAGACTAATGCGTCTCTTTATACTGCTACCTCCTGTCTCCTCAGGTTTAGAGTCATTCTTGGAGTCCTCATCTTTTGATTCAATCTTTTGAGTCCTTTTCTCAAGCACAGGGGACTTTTTTGACCCTTCTGCCTTTTTAGCACTGTGTTCTTTCTCTTGAGTCTTAGCTCCAACACCCTCTGGCATTTGAGGAGTGTTTTCTTTGCCGTCCTCCTTGGTAGGTCGCCGGTTTAGGGACAGCCCAATTGACTCAAACTTTGAGGTAAGATCAGATGAAAGGGGTCGTCCTTTTGTCCAACGAGGAGCAGGTGTAGGGGATACAACCTGAAACTCAGACATAGTGGGGTTTTGGAGGAACGCAGCTGAAACCGGTCTGGGTCTTGAACCTTTAGATTCGGGGCAAAGAACAGTAGAACACTCATCATTGGCACCAGAATCCTCTTTACTCTCCTCATTATTCAGTCCGATCTCTGAGAGAAAGCCCAGTGATTTAGCACGAGTGATTGAAGGGCCAGGCTGTTTCTTCCGAGAAGCAAAAGGCCATTCAGCACCAGGAGTGGAAGCCTGAAAATCAGTTTTGGGTCGAGCTGGTGAGGCTCCGAAGCTTGTTCTTCTCAGCACATCCCCGGTTTGGGTTGTTCTAAATTTGCTGGAATCCGTAAAGGCGATGGTAGGTGCTAGTTTAAAGGGTTGTGCCACAGGTTTGTTTGTTTGCCCACTGGGCTTCGGGCCCATTTTAAAGGCAGGTGGTACACTGGGTTTACTGACTGGCTGTGGTTTAGGTGTGCTGGGCAGGTCTGGTTTGGAGGAAACTGGTCTACTGGGTTCAGGTTTTGGCTGTGGTTTAGGAGCAAGAATGGGGCGTATAGTAGGATTTTTCTCCACAGTGAAAGGTTTTGGGGTGAGTCTAGGCTTGGGACCCGGGGCAGGTTTGTTAGGCTCCGAGGGAAAAATAAGTGGCACCTGGGTGCCACCTGAACTCTCCTTCAAGCTCTTGTTGCTAGAGTCTATGAGAGGGCTAAGGTGCAGACGACTCCCAACCACACATGGCCGCCCAGCATCAACCTCAACCTGGGCAGCCATCGCACCACCTGAAACAAGAAACAAAAAAAAAAATCCAGAGTTAGCTAACAAAAATTTGTCATTTTTTCTGACAGAGAATAAATTGCAGATCATTAGGATTTCACTTTATAGAAGGCTATCCTACACTGTCAGGTATTCAACTATATCTGGCGATAGATCACTTTCTGCACTCCATTTGGTCGTCGCCAAATCTCTTCGCTGCTCATTTACATAAATTTAAGCTCAGTTCAACACTATTTCACTGCCAACTGTCACGGGCTCTCATTGAAAATGATATCCAGTCGCCTTATCGCAGCTCAATGCTGTCAGTGCGAACCCTCCTATAAGTTGGCGGGAAAAGTCTGTAGTCAGTTGAAACCACTGACCAGTCTAAAATCCAACATGCTGAGCAGAATCTCTGCAGTATCATTTTCCACCGCAAACAAATACAGTGTTCTCAGCAATGTTGTTGTGGTGGGGTGTGTCTATGAAGCTCAAGAAAAATGCTCTCTAACCCTTTTCCTCTCCTCTGCTGTGGACTTTGCCTTGGCAGATACAGAGCTCACAAGAGCACATTGAACGCTTTACTGATACATCATTAATCACGCCGTGAGAGTGCGTGTGTGTACAAGTGTATTAAATCAGCATGATTGGACATTGCCCTGTAGGGAGGGATCAATTTGCTGAATTAAGAGTCCAGACTGAGACCGGGTCTGTGCATAAAAATCCTGCTACTACAGGCAAACACACATCAAACAAAAGGAATTCACAGGAGGATCCAAAGAGCCATATTTGCTAATGCAATACACATGTCGCTCTTGGAAGCCGTGCGCTAATACAAACACGTGTTCACACTTAGATGGGCATGCAGACTTTTACAACACACACACACTCACATTTTACACAGAACGTGAGCGCGATTCATAACACATTCACATGCGTTTGCCATGCTTCCCTGTGCTGTTATTAAATTGTGCTTTGTCTGCAGTTTTCCAACACCACAATAATAACTCACCTGCTTGGCTGTCAACCGTCTGCAGTGGAGCCCTGGTTTCTGTGGTAACCGCAGAGTGATGTCATATCATATGAAAGGAGGTGGAGCCAGACTCTGTTGCAGGGAACACAGCATGGTCAGACACCGTTACTTCGGCACAATTAAGGTATCAGTGTCCTTTGTAATTTTGAAGTCTCCACACATGCACACACGTTGTCAATGGTACAGCTTGTTGAAATTGTTGAATATCATAATTGAAAAGCCAAATGAGAATGTTACAAAGACTTTTGAGACACAGCACAGACTCAAACACACAAACACGTATCCGAAATCTACACAATTTTTGCAACATGCAAATTAGACTCAATCAGTCTCTTTTACAAACAAATGAACACACAGAAAGAAGACACACAGATCGAAGCCAGATATTTACCAGCACGATTGACCTACATCTACAGATTACCAAGCAAACCAAAACATTTGATATGTCTCCCGTAGTGAAATCTTAGCTGCGTGGTTGCGCAAGGGGGACAGAAGTAGTGACATGGAAGGAGGGGGACGGCACACAGATGAACAGAAAGAGGGAGAACGACTGTGAAGGAAGGAAAGGAGGAGGATCCTGGTCTGAGTGCATGGACTGGCAGTCGCTTGTTGACAGGAAATGCCTCTGCAGCTGGAATGTTTAATATCTACAGCTTCAAAACTAGAGTTTTCAGGGAAGTCGTTTCTGGCATCCCGTGGAGACCCATTTACACACAAACATGATCTAGCCATTAACCTAGAAATTTTGAAACAGATCTTTACACCTCTTTATTAACGTTAGGAGTACTTAAGTCACACTGCAAATCTCAAAACTTGGAAGACTCCTTGGGAACAGCAAATCTTACACTTCAAACACTACTGGGCTAAAAGTTAAATAATGTGTCTTTAAAAAAGGAATTATATAGACAATTACAATCAATATATATATATATATAATAATGAATCTAAAAGGGTTTACTTTTTTTAATTTGAACCTGTTTTAAGATTTTTTTATATATATTTATGGTTTAAATTTTTATATTTTTTCCACATTACACTAATAAAGGACAGTCAAAAATGTGATGGTACTAAAAATTGTATAATGGTCCTAAACATAGGCTTCATCTTCTTTAGATCAAATATTATTTATATTCATTTAAATAAATATTATTTAAATAAATGTTTTAGTTTGTTTGTTTAGTTAGTTAGTGAAAAATATGACCCAGATATTTCTTCATACTTTTTTCCCCACTATACAGAAAAATTCACTGTCATTCAATCTATATCTACTTAAATTAACTGTACTATATAAACCAAATACTCGTATGGTGATGGGCAAGCACTAAATATTTTGCCAGCAGTGCTACCATAAGTTTTCATACAGCACTCAACTTTCAATCTGAGTGCAAAACTTTCCCACCATGTTGTGGTCAAATTTTTGGCCTGACCTTGACCATCAAACCAATACTAAAAAACACAGTCAGCACCACACAGTCAAGCTCTAGGAACATAAACCAAAGGTTGTAAAAATCACTCGATCAAATCAGATTCCAGTGGAAAGATAAACAAGAAAACCATCCTCAGGCACTGCATTAGCTGTCCATCAAAGAGCGTAAATTAACAACTGTTTTTTTTTTTTAAGAAGCAGCTGCCAGAGTTCCTGTGAAAATCAGAGATCATAAAATGAGTGACTCTGCTGGATATTAAACATGCTCTTCAACTAGGAGTGGCAAAGTAAAAGAGTAACTGGGTTCACACATACTCATTGTGTAGTTATCAAATGGAATTTACTGTTCTTCAATACCATAAAGATTTAATGGTTTTAGGAGCCCTATACACAGAGATAAAGAGGAAAGATTAACAGGAAACATCCTAGCAGATTATTTACAAGTATCCTTTGTAACTACTCAAATACATTATTTCATTTGGTTGAATTTCATTTCTATTTACAAGAATGCAAAAGTGTTGGAAAGTAGATGAAAGAGAGGGGTAGGGCTGGGCGATGTCAAAAATATCTTATCGATAATCGCCTTTACAAATATCGCGATATCCGATAATATTGTCTAAGCCCCACCTCCACAACGCCCCGCCCCCGCCGAGACAACATTGCCGACACGCACCATAAACACACACCATGTTCAGTTTGGTCTTAATTATTGCCACAAAGTTTGGTTTTACTTTTCTTAGTTTGTGCTTAAACTAACAAAAAACATTAGCTTTGCTGTTGGTGTTGCTAATTTCCACTCTGTTCTTATAAAAATTTGTGTTTGAAATGAATTTCGTTTTGTGAGGAGAACTGTTGAGGAAAAATAATAGAACCCAATTTTAAGTTCATCATGGTGAAGTTGGACATTCTGGCGGTGATTGTAAGAATGATAAACGGATGTTGATGTCATATAATA